ATATTCTATTTCATATACAACAAAAAACAACAAGTAATTATAACTGAATTGTTCAGATTAGTGTTTAATTAAAACCCATTTTATAAAGGAATGATTTCAGTTATTGACTGATCATTAGGTCAAGCTCACTAGTTACCAAATTTAAATGCATCCAAACTGCTACAAACAGAGTCTGTGGCAGCTGTGCTTTGGTCTGGAGATGTACGTGACTTCTAGTATTTGTGTTTATACAAAAGGAAAAACTGCAATTATTACAGGACTCATTAAAACTCTCTCTCTCAAAAGAAAACCCCTTATTGACAAGAGGTTGTAATTGAATAAGGCATTTCAGTCTTACAGACATAATTAACTGCAGCCTTCCTCTTTGGTGAATGACCTTTCCAAGCCCCCAGAGCCCTGTCTGCAGTCAGAGGTGTGACTGCAGCCTGCTCTGCCGTTTCTGCAATGAGGCTGTGAGGGAGAGCACAGACAGCTGTGTCTGGAGGCATCAGCAACAGCTGCTCCAGCACGGTTTGGGTGGTGAGCATCTCTACAGAGATGTGTCCTGCTAAAGCTGTGTTTGTGCATGGATACTTCAATGAGCTTTGAGAGGACAATGCTGTAGCAAATAAGAAAAACATGCCACTCATCAATCATAACAAGAAGAAAACACTTAGCTATGTCAGAAAACTTAAATTACTTTACAAAACTCTTAACTTTCTCCTTTCCTTTTTGCTCTTTTTTGTTCTCAACCATATTTGCCATGTGCAATACCAGAAGCTCAGACTTGACCAGCAAAATTCCTCTCTGAAGGAAAAACTGCTTAATTTACATAGTTAATATCAAATCAAGTTTGAAGTGGTTTATTAACTTACTAACAACACAATAATTAAAGTGATCACTGAAGGTCGATGATCAAGATCAAAATCTCTACAAGAAGTAATATGAAAAATACTAGCAGACATGAATTTCTAAATACCTTTCTAAAACACCCCAGAATTGATAAATCCCTCCCTCTCAGTGATCAGCACACCTGCCCCTCCTGGACTCAAGGGTTTCCCAATGTGCTGATCTCTGCAGCCTGGCTCTCCACTTTGTTGCTGGAGTACCCCCAGTAACCTGTCCCTGTTTTCTTGTGCTGGAGTGCCCAGCACTGGACACATCACCCAGATCTGTCTCATCAGGCTGAGGAGCAGGACTGGCTCCCTTGACCTCCTGGCCATGCTCTGCCTAATGTAACCCAGGATCCTTTCTTCAAAGTAAAAATGACAACAATTTTAGTGATGTTTAAAAATTTTTGGTGGGTTTGGACTACACTGGCCCAAAGGAAAAGCTGTCCCTAAGCATCTATAAACAAAAATGAAAGATTTTTCAGGCTGTTTGTCTACATTGAAGTTTTTGCTCCTAAAAGAAGGCTGAAGAGGAACTTTTTGCAAGGCAAATGTAGTGACAGGACTAGGGGGAATGGCTTCAAACTGAAAGAGGTTGGTTTAGATTTAATTTTAGGAAGAAATTCTTCACAATGAGGGTAGTAAAATTGCCCAGTGTTGGAAGATATGAATTAAACTGTCAAGGAGGACTGTAAATCAATCAAGTGACCTTGCAGCCTGAGTCAACAGCAGGCCAGTAACTCACTAGCATGCAAGTTTAAAGGTGCCTGTGTCTTCTTTATGAACTTTTGCCCGGGTGCTGCTTTTAGGGTCCCCCTGAAAGCAAGGAAACAGGAATAAATAGACTCTTTACATTCTAACAGTGACTTTGTGGCTGTCCCACCTGCCTGCTTGGGTCGACACACACACCTAGAGAAACTGTGGATGTCCCATCCCTGGAAGTGTTCAAGGCCAGACTGGATGGGACTTTGAGCAACCTGGTCAAGTGGAAGGTGTCCCTGCCTATACCAAGGGGGTTGGAGCCAGATGACCTTTAAGATCCTTTTCTACTCCAACTGTTCTATATATTTCTATAATTTTCACTATTACTAATTCTTGTATTAGGGAACAAAGATAATTGCAGGGCTTCTTTCTATGTGCTGCAGCTACAATCCTTGATGTCAGTTTGTGAAAATACTTGGTATTTAGAGCTAAAATACTCAATTTTCAGCCAATGTTACCAGTCATGTCTGCCAAGTCTGCTGCAGGATGGCAGAACAGAAGTGAGGACAAAAGGTAGCTTCTTGTCTTTAGTGTGATTTTCTAAAGATAGCAAAGTTACATTCTTAATTTGGTGCTTTAGTGGTGGCTGAGCTATTTCCCAAATCTGTGGTAGCACATACATGGTGTACCTTCATTTTTTTAGAGTTGTGATGTCCTGTACTGCGTGTTTCTCAGTATGAATGCTCTGGTCCTTCTGTCTGTAAGAGCTGAAAGCAGAACTGGCCTTCCTCTGTAAAAAGGTTTGCTAGTCTCAGCCCATAATGTGAAAGATGGCTGTCACTGCTTGGGAGACTGATTTTAAAATCAAAAGGCCTGAAAACAGAGGCCAAAGCAACTGCTTGAAAAAGCCTGAGCACGTTTCTCCCATGGGCATTTCTAGGAAATCATCTCCAGAGATGGTCAAAGGAGTGAATCAACAAATACATCCCAGAATATTTCTCTAATTTTTTCGAGTCCGTCACAAAAAGCACAGGATGCAATAAAGCAGCCTTTCCCTAAAGAGAATCAATCAGCTATCTGACTGCATTTCCTTTCTCAAATACAGATCAGATGCTGTACAAGACAGCACAAAAGACATTACAAAACAGCCTTCCCACAATGAAAGCTTCTTCCTAATTCTCTATAATTAGAATGACTTTTGAATGAGAAACAGACTGTACAATTTGAGCAGCCTGAGAGACTTCCTGCTCCAAAGAGCTATGAAATAATAACCTAGAGTGGGCTGCACCAGACCTTCCCCTGCAGAATTAATTTTGTCTCCTGGACATCACTGGGAGTTTTGTGGTGGATTCATAGAGTATCTGGCGAAATGAGAATACTGTGATAATACAGTTGCTCTCTGTTTACCACAGAATAACCCACCCTAATAATTTTCACACCTAGGCAATCTCTGGTGGTATCCAGTGTTTATCTTCCTTCTGACCCTGGTGACAGTTTTGTGTGCTGCATTGGTCCCAAATCAAAATGCTCACTGATGCCAATGACAAATCAGAAGTATCATGCAAAATCCTGCTCAGTTTGTGTTAGGGAAGATGAAACAGGAAAGCCTTATAAATATGATTGTCTGGCAAAAGATTTTGAGAATATAGAAACTATAAGCGAGATTGAAATGAAAGCAAGCTTTGAGATGCCTTAGTTAGTGAACAACAGGAAAACAAGAGTGTGGCCAGCCGAAGGTAATCCCCTTTTGATGAAACAATACCCTCTGCTTGCAGGCAGGTCCAAGAGTCTGAGCAGACCCTGCCAGCTTGGCAGAAGGGGTCCAAAGTGTAGCTTTTAGAGTTTAAAATGTAGCAGAGTATAGTAATGTAGTGATTCTTATAGGCTGTATAGAAATGCTATAAGATTTGTACTAAATTAGTTAGTGAGAATCAGAATATTCAACACAGAAGATGATTTATTGTATTGTAATGAGAACTTTGATCTCTTGCCTTTTACACTCTTACCCCTTTTACTCTCTTATGCTCTTGCTCTCTTACCCTCTCATCCTCTCTACCCTTTTTTTCTTTCAGGCCTGCTCCGAGCTGTGGCTGGCAGCTCCCAGCAGGGCCCTGCGCCCAGGCCCTTTGCAATAAACCACAAGTTCCATGACCTGGCTTCAGAGACCTCTTGTCTCCATCTGTCCTGACCGTGCAACCCCTCATCACTCCTACAGACTGCTCCCTCCTACAAGTTTGCACCAAGGTGCCTTGAAAATCTTGGTTGCTGTATTATGTTTACACCATTATTTACAGAGAATAACAGAAAAACACACTCGTATTTCAAAACAAGTATTATTCAATGTTTATTAAAATTGGGTGATTCCACCCATTCATATATGCTTAAATGTAATTTAAGCCTTCAATATACATAAATAGATAAAACTTAATAACACACAGTTAATAGATGTGTCTTTTCAGTATTTATATTGCCCAAAAGAAATGTGAAATGTGAGAGGTTTGTGAATTTTTAAATTTAACCTACTAGCTGAGTTATATGCATTCTATGGGACTGTCATAGTCTAGATTAGTGAAATTATATTAAAGAAAAGCTTTATTTGCTAAGAGTGGTATTGGGCCACTGGAGAGGTGGGTGGTGAGAAATTAGACCAAAAATACCTTTGATTATTTTAGGTTTTTACCTTGATGACTACATAAAGTAAGTATTCAGTCCAAAAAGTGCTCATTTTTCCTTTGAAACAAAATATTTTAATGAAGCATTTTTCTAATAATGTATCAGTGAAGATAAATATATTTTAAAAATTCTGGTTCACTTGGAATACCTACAATTTTAATGGGAGACAGAGAAATCACTAGCTTGTTATCTTTTACAATTTCTGCTTCTCCTGTTATCCAGTGGTGACTTTACTTGAGCACAAAAACGACTTAACTACAAAAATAAGTTATGGGAATCAAAACATATAGAGAAGACATAGTTTAAACTAAGTTTGTAAATTATTTCTGTATTGCAAAGACTGTATTAGCTCCTGCAACTTCTGAAGCAACTGCAGATGGTTGTTCTATATTATGGCACTTATTTAATGACTGTTTCATACTTTGCTATAGATCTCTCATCTCCTTGATACTTCCATCTATCTCCTAATATCCATTATGTATCTGGTAGCCCTTTGCTTCTCTGTAAATGAGGAAATTCCAAACCCACCCCCTCCTTCCTCCCCCCAACCCTCATGCTACCCCAGAATGACTTTTTTTCATAGAAGATGGAGATAAGAAAGGGGATCAAGATTAAGCTAGTTATAGGTATGTCATCCTAAATTTAATCAATATTTCTGTTTCTTAGACTTCCCTTTTCAGTTTTCCTTAATGACTTTGACTTTTGTTCTTCAAGTGCAAATACAAAAACCAGATGTTTAAAATTCAAAACACTGTAGCAATTTTCACCAAGACTTTATTATGATACATTAGTAGGGATTTACATTAGACAAATGCTTGCATCATTGTTTTACTTTTATGGATCCGTTATTTCCTGTCTCACCTACCATGATCCAGTCCTGAAAGCAGGTTTTAGAGTTCCTTGAAAGATTCCATGTTATGAATTCTGCCTTTTGTGTACAATAGATATTTCAGTCTGTCCAAGTAAGTAAAACTCCACCTGGAACAGCAAATACACTGTGTGGCAAATAATAAAAAAAGAGATATTTAATACTAAATTTCTGAAGTAGTCTATGTGCTACACAAGGTTAAATAACTTGAAAGCCAAAACCAAAAATCATCACACCCAAAGTCAAAACCAAAATTCATCTGCACCACTGCTCCTTGTACTTGCTCTCTCTCTGCTTTTTAACCGCAACATGTCCATGACACTGCGTGCGTATATGTCTCGCAAATTCACGTTGATATTTGAATCGCTGGATGAGTTCTTCATGAGTTTCTTTAAAGCTTCACGCTGCCGAAGAGCAGCTTCTTTTATCTTCAGAGTAAAATAACAGGCAGAAAAACGGTCATTTATTATAGCTATTGGCAAAGCCAAAACCAGTATTCCTGATAGTATACACAAAAAGGCTACTACCTTACCAATGGTAGTGTCTGGTCTAATGTCACCATAACCAACTGTTGTCATGGAAGTTGTTGCCCACCACCAAGCACCAGGTACACTTGTGAAAGTTGTGCCTGGAACACCTTGTTCAACAAAGTACTCCACAGTGGAAAATATAGAGATTCCTACAGAGAGGAAAAGAAGCAGAAGGCCAACCTCCTCATAGCACTGAGCAATAGTCATCCCAAGGGACCGCAAGCCTGAAAGATAAGAAATGCTGTCAGTAGGTTGATTCATGTAGCTGTCATTATATCTTTGCAAAAAATTTCTTACTTAAAGGCTGACTGCTTTATATTTTCTTTGAATGTGGGTGAACATGTCTTGAGAATCACAGATTCAGTGAGATTAGAGAACACCTCCAAGGTCATCGAATCCAACCTTTAACTCAACACCAGTTTGTCAACTAAACCATAGCACAAAGTGACACATCCAGTTGTTTCAAAACTTCCAGGACTGTGACTATATCGCCTCCCTGGGCAGCCCATTTCAAAGCTTAACCACCCTTTCCATGAAGAAATTCTTGATGTCCAACCTGAACCTCCCCAGTACAGCCTGAGGCTGTTTTTTCTTGTTGCTTGATGCCTGGGAGGAGAGGCTGACCCTACCTAGCTACACCCTCCTTTCAGGTAGGAGGCAGAGAGCAATAAGGTTCCCCCTGAGCCTCCTTTTCACCAGGCTGAACAACCCCAGTTCCCTCAGCCACTCCTCATATGATTTACTCTCTCGATCCTCACCAGTTTCATTGCCCTTCTCTGGACGTGCTCCAGCACCTCCATGTCTTTCTTGTAGTGAGGGGTACAGAAGTGGATACAGGATTTGAGGCTTCCCAGTGCTGAGTACTGAGTGATAAATAATTCCCCAGTCCATTTGGCCACACTACCCAGGCCATGATGCCTGGGCCCTTGTGGACACTTGGGCACAGCTGGCTCATCACACCCAGATCCTTTTCAGACACTCTTCCCTCAGCCTGCTGCACTGCAACAGGGGCTGTTGTGATGCAAGTGCAGAACCCAGCACTTGGCTTTAATGAACATCATACTGTTGGTCTCAGCCCATCTATCCAGCCTGTCCAGATCCTTTTGCAGAACCCTCCTATATCCTCCAGCACATCAACTCTTCCACCCAACTTAGTGTTGTCTACAAACTGACCTGAATCCCTCATTCAGATAATTAATAAAGATATTACACAGGACTTGTCTCAATACTGAGCCTTGGGGACTCCACTAGTCACTGGCCACCAATTGGATGTGGCACCATACACTAACACTCTCTGGGGCAAGTCCTCCAGCCAGTTTTTACCCCAGAAAAGAGAGCATCTGTTCAGGCCATGGGCCTCCAGTTTCTCCAGTAGAATGCTGTGGGAGACAGCGTCAAAGATTTTATTGCCATCCAGGTAGGCAACACTCATAACCTTTTCCTCATCCACTAGGCAGGCAATGTAGTCATAAAAGATCAGGATGATCAAGCCTTGGCTGAATTGTCCTTTCCTAAGCCCAGAGCTGGGCCTGATCCCCTGGCTGTCCTGTACTTGCCATGTGATCACACTCAAGATAATCTGTTCCATAATCTTCCCCAGCACCAAGATGAGGGCTGTAGTTCCCTGGATTCTCCTTCTGACCCTTCTTGTTGGTGGGCATTACATTTGCTAGCTTCCAGTTACCTAGGACCTCCCTGGTCAATGAAGGCATAAATGACGGCCAGCATGGTGACAAGCCATCCTGCCAGCTCCCTCATCACCCTAGGATGAATCCCATGTGGCCCCATAGAACTGTGAGTGTCTAAGTGGCACAGCAGGTCACTAACTACATCCTCTTGGATTGCAGGGGTCTATTCTGCTTCCCATCCCTGTCTACCAGGGGGCTGGCTGCCATGAGGATATCCACTCTCTCTGTTAAACAATGAGGCAAGGAAGATATTAAGTACCCCAGCCTTCTCCTCATCCTTGGTGATAATGTTACCCCCCTCCATAACCAATAAAGGACAGAGATTTTCCTTGGCCCTCCTTTTGTTGGTAATGTATTTATAAACCCTATTTTTACTACCTTTCACACTGGTGGCCAGATTGAGTTCTAGCTGAGCTTTTGCTTTTCTGATTTTCTCTCTACATGACCTAATGAAATCCCTGTACTCTTCCCAAGTTACTCTCCTTCTTCCAAAAGTCATAAACTCTCTTATCTTCTCTGAATTCTGGCAGAAACTCCCTGTTCCTCCAGGCTGCTCTTCTTCCTCCTTGGCTTGCCTTAAGGCACATAGGTACTGCCTGCTCCTGAGCCTTTAAGACTTCTTTCTAAAAGTATGTCCAGCCATTCTGGAGCCTTCTGTTTTAGGGCCTGTTTCCCAAGGGACTCTCTGAACCAGTGTCCTGAACAGGCCAAGTCCTGCCTGCTGGAAATCCATGTTAGAGGTTTTGTTGACCTCTTCCTCACTTCACCATGAATTGAAAACACTCTTATTTCATGGTCACTGCTCATAATGGCCTCTGACCACCACATCTCTCTTCTGGTCTAATGAGGCACTGACCCTGGTAGGCTAAAAAGAGGCGCTGCTCTAAGCAGAAGCTGAGAAAAAGTGATTTACATAAATAGATCACAGTGTTAGAGATTGAACACCTGACATCATTCGTATTTTCTTAATATAGACCATAGGAATTCTTATTACTTATCATCTGAACTATATACACATATAATTTAGACAAACTAAACTATCTTGATTTATTAATTTGCTATAAGAGAAGATCTAGTACCACTTGAAACTACTTAAAAACACACTAAAAACACCTGCTTTATATTTGGAGACTAAATGTGCCAAGCCTCTGTTTTCCAGCCAATGTCATATTTTTCTCTTGGATCCAAGATCCCCTAGTTACCAAATTTGTGTTGCTGAGTGAGACCCCAGTTCAGTTCACTCAACTTTTTCTTTGAGGACTGTTTTCAATCCTTTTGTAATTGTCACAGACTCTCTTTGACCCTTCTTCCTTCTGCCCAAGCTACCTTGCACTGTAGAGATCAAAACCAAAAGGTTTTCCAGTAACAGCTGCACTTGTGCCAAACTCAAGGTAGCAAAGCAAGCAGCAAAGCATATCCTCTCAATGCAAGCATGAATCCTGTTAATTGACTATGTTCTGCATCAGTCCTTTTGCCCACGAGTCTGTGACCACTCTCCATAACCCCCTATATTCCTGTTAGAGCCACTGCTTCTAGGCTAGACTGCCCCACAAAAGCTAGCAAGAAAGTAAATCCAAAAGTAGTGCAATGGATAAATATTGCACATAGAAAGAAAGAAGGAAGATAACAGGGTACCAATTCAGCTGAGGCACACAGGAGACTGAAATTATCTTTTAAATTACTTTGGATTAGTTTTTAATGCTGTTCTTTAAAAAATGTGAGATGCTTTCTCTAATAAATGAGAACAACATAATGCCTATGAATTACCCTTCACAGGTATATTTCTCACTAAACTAGTGTTTGCAAAACAGCTTACTGAGGCTCTGCTTGCAGACTTCATGTGCTCGTTATTGTTATAGGGAATTTGATTGTCTGACAATCTCAAACAACAAGATGTTAACACTTCTTGCTTTTGGCTCTTTCTTTTCCCCTGCAGGTTTAATGGATTTCAGAAGTTTTATGTACAACAAAACTGGAGGTACACAGTAGAGTTTGGAGGCAATGTTGGAGTTTTCTTCCAATGCTATCTGCTACAAACTCCAGTAAAGAACTTACCCATACTGAGATCTTACATTACTATAACTATGATCTGTAGAATGTTTATTACAATGATATAGATTAAATCTTTAACACAAAGGGAATGAGATACAACACTGCAATCTTTTCTCTGTAAATATGACTGCCTTCATATTTTGGAAACATTAATATAAGCAGAGCAAAAGCTCTGTGAGATAAATGCAAGAACTCAGATCAAATTCTCATTTCCAAGGAACCCTATGAGCCCTTGCCCTGTAAAACTTCCTACTGAACAAGGCAGAAGAGTAAGTCCTTTCAGGTGAGCTAGGAAGAAGGTACAATTTAAAATTACCCCTGTAGGACTTCTTTTCAAAGCATAAATGAATACTATAAAAGCCAGAGTTTGTACCTTATGATGAATCTTGATAGTATTGTAGCTAAAATAAAAAGCAAATATTTCACATAAAATAGATTAAAATAAGGAGGAAAAGAACAGTAACTGTTAAATCTTTGTATCACAATGATGACACTCTGATTTTTCCTATGACTAGTTATTCTAACTGTTCAGGGTCTGATTTTTTCTTTTTATTATTTTTAGTTCTAGTGTACTAATCTAAAATTAAGATATAATTATTCATGTCTTTAAATGAAGTCAGGAAACATTACTAGGCAAATCCATGAATCAGAGAAGTTACTGGACTCCACAACTCATCCCAAAGGGAATCAGTTGGTGCAATGACATGTATAAAGTATACTACTATATTACTTTGTACCTTTTAAAAATGTCTCTGAGTCCTGGCACATGGCCAAACTAGGGCTGTCCCAGCACAGACACCTCAGCAAGTCTTACAGCTTCTCATGGGAACTCCTTGCCAGGAACTGTGACAGCTTGATTACTCATGCTTGGAAGGTGTTAAGGTGCTTTAACAGAGTTGGTGTGAGGCTGGCAAGCAGCCCCAGCTCTGGTAAGAGGAAGAGGAAGCATTTCTGCCATGCAGGTCAACTTCTATCTCTTTTTTGTCCAAAGTGACTTGGCAATACAAGCTGATAATCAGAAGCTTCAGTTTACACAGTGCTTAAACAACTGTAACGTTTTAACACAGAAAGTGTTGAAGTTTCAACTTTACATGACTCTAGAGGCACAACAGCCTTAAATATGCTATGGTCTTCTCTCAAAGACATGCTCATTGCCTTTGCAAGTAAGATGCTCATACCCTACTTCTCCTCAAGAAGTCCCTCTGTATGTGCTTCCCAGAGGAGACCAGCAAGGTCCCTGGAAACATGGTCCTGGGGCAAGGCAACAGCTGAGGAGCATCTGAGAACATGACAAATGCAGCTTCAGTTCTCTTCTATTCTTGAAGTTACTAAAATACATAATTTTGCTATATCAGAGGAGTTGTCTTGCCCTCTAGCCACACATTTTATGGACAGAGGTACTACTGATTTCTCAGTGGTTCCTTGATGAAGTACAGTACTTAGCATAAGTAGCTGCACACTCACACCAGTCTAGCCTGAGTGTTTTTAAGATCACATCCCTCAAGTGAGCTGGCTTCAGCTTCCAAAGGGGCAGAAATTACTTTTTTCATTTCTTATTTTCATTCTTGTTCTTGTCCCACAGAAAGGGTTAAGTTGCTATTTCTTGAAAGAGAAGAAAAGAACTGATGTTTTTTTACCTCACTCATTCCTGCCCCTGACAGCAGGGCCAGGCTGCTGTTGTGATCCCAGCTTTGCTATGGCTCCATAAAGTACCACAGAGGTGTTCTCCTTGTGGCTGTGAACACCCCTCCTTGCTGAAAGAGAAGCTGCTGGCTTCAGACACAAATCTTCTGCTCTTGTATTCATCTTGCCACATGAAATAACTGAGCAGTACCTGAAGCTTTGTCAGGTCTGAGAGTGTAGGAAGTTGGAGAGAAGCCTCACTGGAAGGCACCTGTCAGATCCAAGGCAAGAGAGCAAGAAGAGCTTTGAGAGCTGCCCTGAACACTGAGGTTATCAGTACTGCCTAGGGATGTGCAAGGAGAATGGTCTCTATGCATGATAAATATGAGGCTCTTGTATTAGGAGCTCTGGTAAAGGAAGTATTTAGAAGCACATAAACACACTTTGGACAGGAGATCAAAACAGTGAGTTTCTACATTTAAGTCATACAGATTTGCTTTAACACTCTGGAACTAAGCAGGCAGCAACTGACCTACCAAAGAAGCAAGACAATGATGGTAACACTGCTCCAAGTGGCTTAAATTGATACATGTGTTTCTTCTTGTACCTTGAAACTGGCATTTTGATTCCAGTAAAAAGAAGACAGCACACCTCCAGATCACGATACTATATTTTTATGAAATTAATTCACTTTTACCTGACATGGTACTATTAAATTCAATATCACTCAATATTGTGATGTAAACTGTGGTAAATATGGAATAATTAATTTAAGAATATATAAACCTAAGTGTTTAGACCACCCTTGAAAGTATGTCTGCCTGAAGTTAGCAGTTATACAAATATCTGAAACATCTGATTTCAAGCTGATAGAGCCACAGAACTGAGTGACAGGATGAACACATTCACTCTGTAAGAGTAAATTGCATTTAACTGGAAACTTAAATTGAATTAACATACTTTTGTATGACCATTTTGTTAGTCAGCACAAAAGTGCCCTGAAGAGATAAAATATTTTTCTTATTTTCAAAACACAGTTAGAGAGGATGGCATTCACATTACAAGTACCATCAAAAGTGGGTAACAGAATTGCAAAAAACCTCTACCAAACCCTGCAAAACTTGTAATAAAGCAAAATTGCCAGACTGAATCATTACAAACTTTCTCTCAACTGCTTTCTAAGGGACTGTTATGCATCAGTATAGGCATAATCTAGTGCAGAGAGTAAGATTAAGATGTTTCCCAAACCACTTATGACTATGCTTATGATTATAAGTAGTATCAAAGCTACTCCCTGCCACTGGCAGGCAGGTTTGCTACCTTTAAGTGGTTACAAAAATAAGACACACTCTGCTGCTGTGAGCACACTGTAACTCCTGCTGAATTTGGGCCAGTTTACAGAGAGGGCTCTCCAAAAACATGGACAGGCATCAAACCATTCCTGCTTCATGGCTGGAAATTCTGAAAAGGCACATTGGGTGCTTTTCAAGAACGGTCATCACTGTCTTCAGAACAGCTAATATTGCAGGACAGAGATCATTATTTACTATTGGGATTTAATTTTTCAAAGCTACTAGTGTTGGTTGAACATTTCTTCTGTAAAATTCAGCACCATATTCTCCACTGATTTAGGTGGGTACATAACAGAATCATTTTGAAAATGCCAAGACAGTTTTTATTCTTTCATATAGCCAGGCATGCACATGCCACAAAGAAGTAATAAAATCAGGGGAAATGCAAGAGGAAATTCAACACTTTCTAATGCTTTCCAGTTTTCTCAGATAAATTCCCACTGGAAAGTGTTAACTTTTATGCCTTCCTTTCACCAGAGAGAGCAAACAAGATGGTTCACAGAAATGCATTTCACCTTACACCCCACCCCTGCTTGCTGTTCATTCACCTGTCAGGAGTGCCAGGGCACTAAGGGCCCCAGACCAGCTGGTGAACGCTGGCTCAATCTGGCACTGCAGCTCTGCCCTGCACCCAGCTCCCCCTGCCTAAGCAGCCCCTGATGGGCTCCTCATACCACTGGAATACCAGTGGGTTCCACGGGGCCAGAGAGCCCCTCAACACATCACCTCCAAAGGTTTTAAGCAGTTTTCTTGAAACATTCTCCACTGTGGTTGTTTTCAGGATCTATGACATGGACAAAATCATGATGTCATTCTTTACATATGCTTTTAAACAGACAAAATTGTGACAGCTGTCATTAGTGGACCTTGGAACATACAAAAAGCCTGGGCTGATGATCTCTGCTTCTTCCCTAATAAAATCAACATATATATGTTTTAAAATTTATCATACTATGAATGACTGGTGGATGATTTACAGCATGCAACACTGAGGTCTGTTTATGTAAATGTTCAATGCAAACAATATGCAAAGCTTTTTGAAGAGCTAAAATTTTTTGGAGAAGGCCTTTATCACTCAACTACAATGTACAAAAGGAAGATCTTCAAAAGCCATTACTGCTAACAGATTGTGTAACGCAATGCATACACAAAATGGAGGACTGTGCCCAGGACAACTATTGCAGGCAGTGAAATTGAGAAGTATCACAGCCATGGCCAAAATATACCTGTTGAATGTCTTCCCAGCTTCAGCATCCTTAGGGCTCTGAGAAGTCTCAGCACTTGGACAATGCGCCCCACGTTCTCCAGTTCCTGGGAGCTCTCACCACCACACAGGCTCTCTACCAGCAGGGTGATGTAGAAAGGCAGAATAGCAAGGAGGTCTATGATGTTTGCCACGCTCCTCAGGAAGCGGCACCGATCTCGGGCACACAGGAGCCTCAGGCCAAACTCCGCTGTGAACCACGCAATGCACACGTACTCTAGGGCATCCAGCAGGGCTGGGGCCAGCCAGCTGAGCTCTACTGAAATCAAGGCCATGTTGGCAATTGACACAACAACAAAAACCATGGACAAGGTGCCAAACGTCCTGGCTGCTGCAGAGGAGCCAGGCTTTTCCAAAAGTTCCCAAAGTTTCTGTCTGACATTGGGACAGAGGCTACCAGAAAAGTCCTCTTCTTCATCTTGGGCATCCAGTTCTTCTGCATCTTTCTTGATGTCTAAGGCTTCACTCAGCTCCTTCCTCCTGAAGTACCTGCCCAGGAACACCCCCCAAGAGATTTTGAATACCAATAGGCAGATGCTTGTCTTATCATTTACTATGCAAGTCAGAAGAATACACATTAAAGTTTACCTTATATGAGCTCAGAAAACCGTAATATCAAGCCTATGGCTTGTATTGTTGAGCCCCAGCAGCATGTTTCTGCTGAATGATACACTTCTATTACCCCATTTCACATCAGTGACACATTCTATATGCAGAATAATTTTACTGAGAGCGATTTATTTATATGGAACATGTTGACCACAGTAGGATCTGCAGCACGACTGACATGAGTTCTTAGAAGCAATCCTGGCACAACCACATCCTCTGTTTTTAAACAGTTCTCAATTTGTTTAATTGTATGCCATTTTTTATTACACTGGTCCATATATGCAATAGTAAAACTGAAGTTCATGAGTAAACTTCTGATCAATACAGACTAAGATGACAAGGTATCTTTCTTTCTTTAGATATATCAGCTCTCACAGAAAGTGGACAAACATTTGTACAGAGTAAAACTTACAGACTATAAATACATAGAGTGTTTTGTCAGAGTAAGAGTATATTTAAAGTGGAATTTTGTCAATCATAAACACTCAAAGTACACTAAAAAAATATTTTTCTGTCATATCTTTACTTTTGACTGCTGTCAAGTTCAAGCCTTAGACAAAGGTGTTGTACAATTTTGTCTTCAATACAGTTAGTCCTGCATATGTCAAAAAGGTCTGTAGCTCTGTCTATCACTAAAGTAGTAAGAGCATTCAGTTACACCTACCAGAAAAGGAAGAAAGGTTTGAAAACTAGGCTCCAATCTTCTCAGCTGAAGAACTAAACCATACTAGGGTAGGATACCTCTAATATCTTTTTGAGATGGTATTACTTCTTTCTAATAATTTTGACATAACTGCTATAGCTAAATAGCAGTTACCCTCTTTAGAAAATTCATTTCTTCAATACTAAAAAACCAAAACCAGTAACATTGAATATGGTGGGAAATTAACTGCAAATAGAATTAACAGAAACATCCTGGGGGTGGTTCAGTCAAAGCCCACCTCGTTCCCAAACTGCCTGGTATAATTTGTCTCCAGCGAGCCATGTTCCCGCTGCTGCTGCCCCCTCCCTGTAAGCTGCAACATCCACGTGCGATGCTTCCTTTCAAGGCTCCTCCTGGAGCCATGCCACCCACACTCAGCCTGGCAGGTGACCAGCCCCCCTCCTGCCTCTCCAGCTTGGATTTGGAAATCCTTCAAAATTAAAGTGCAGGTGGGCAGGATCCAAACCCTCCCAGCATTGTGTCTGACTCCACATCCAATCCCTCTATGATAACCTTAAACTGAATGATTGAAGGGGCATCTCTCTTTTCACAACCCTTTTCATCTCTGGCATTGTCCTTTTCAACCTTTTGAGCTTCCAGGGTCAGTTTGAAGCCACTACAGGACATCCCAGACCCTGTTCCTGTTACTGTCTCACTATCTTGACGTCACCAGCAACCTTTCTCACAGTAAGTGGTAACTGTGACCTCACCCAACACATCTCCACCCACTGCACTTGGGGCTCAACTCACACAACTTTTCCTGCTGCCTCACCTATCCCCATTGCTGGATCTCTCATCTGAGGGTCTCTGAATGAAAGTCGATGTGGAACTCATCTAGCCCACAATCCACAAGATGAGGAAGCCTCATCTTCCCACAACTCACCGGTCTCTGCAGCAGGAATCAATGCTGAGCTCATCCAAACCCCAGTACTGGATCTCTTGCAGGAAAGAGAGTGCACACAGCTGCTCCATCACATGCAGCCTCCCTGTCTGGTAGTAATTCAGGATGTAGTGAAACGCCTGTGAGCTCCGGTCAAAGAAATACTCATTCTCCACAAGGTTGGCATCATCACAAAGCTCAAGGAGGCCAGAAGCCACGTCCCGGGCAGCAGAGACCACTACTGCCAGTTTGCCAAGACGAGTGTCAGGGTAGCAAGACAAAGTTTGCTGGGACATCACAAAGCGGCTGCCTCCTACATTGATAGTAAAGCAGTCCAGAGAGGGAATGACCTTCTGGAGCAGGGGCCCCTGCTCTTCCTCACTAGAGAAAACACTGGACTCCAGCGAACCCAGGGATGTGCTACTCCCCGGTTCCTCCAAGGATGCTTGGGAAGAAAGAGACATGCAGCAGGGAGGCGACTTCATCCTGTAGCTGCCAGCAGCAGCCCACACTCTCCAGGATCAAAATCACAACACGGCTGCAGAGAAGGCTGCCCCGCCAGGCTCGGAATGTTGCCTCTGGCCCCCGTGCCAGGGACACCGCGCCG